TATTCAAAATATCACTGTAAGAAAAAGTGGAAGTAGGACATTACAGCAATATTAATGGGCTCCCTGCCCCCAAGTGGCCTGCGGTAACCTAGTGGGATCCAATGGGGATCCCACTATTAAGGTTTTATGGGAGAGAGTTTCCACCTCCTGTGATATTTAATAGGAGAGTAGTATCCTTCCTTATCAGGTACTATACTTCCAGTATACAGTATTTTCAGGGCATTGATATCACACAGCGGACTAGCCTTGATAGCTATATATTACAGACAAACATGAGAATAAAGTTAACATCATACAGACATTCCTGGCTATTGTCAAGCTAATATACTCTTAAAGCATTTCTTTATGTTATGTCTTGAAATATCTTTGCTCCATTGTCCATTCAGGATCTCTCTGAAGTCAACACAGTAACTACTATGCTGTAGGGAAAGCTAGCAACAACGGAGATGCAGTGATTAATTATTGGAAGGAACAGCGTTCCCATAAGGATGTAGATGTTCACAGGTCAGATTAATTCTGTTTCCTGGTTATTTATGGTTTGGGAAGGAAAATGTGCTCCAAATAAATATGTTGTGGTCAATAAATGTCATGTTATGTTATTGAAGAATGCATTGAGAATGTAAGAATATGTGTTTTATGCACCATCTAATGAAAAGGTCATTAAATAAGATATCAGTTACAAGCCTAGCTAGGAGCTTTTCTTGTCTCAGAGCTTGTCGTGTTCAGAGGATCTCAGAATCACACTACCTAGAGACCCTTGCTAGCTCTCATTCTATATCGTACAATTACTGGCTGCAGGCACCGCTTCCGTGCCAGTGATTTGAAAAGCTTTGAAGTAAAACCCCAGATAAAACATTTTTTTTTTAATGGGAAATATTTAGTAGGGAAGGTGACACTCAGAGCATGGCTGTGAGCTAACTCTGATTTCTACAGTGCATTGTCCTCATATTCTAGGGAGGCATTCCCTATAGTCTAGAGACCATGCCACTGGCTGTTTATTTAATTGGCCAAAGGAATATTTGTAAGATATACAGGTGAAACTCAAATAATTAGAATATCGTTCAAAAGTAATTGCAGTAATTGCTGCAAAAGGGGCCCAAACCAAGTACTGAGTACATATGCATGCTTGTACTTTTCAGAGGTTCGATATTGTTCTATGTACAATCCTTGTTTTATTGATTGCATGTAATATTCTACTTTTTTGAGATTGTGGATTTGGGGTTCTTGGGGTTTTCATGAGCTGTAAGCCATAATCATCACAATTATGACAAATCACGGTTTGAACCGTTTGAAATCGAAGCAGATAGCACAAAAAAACAATGAAGTGATACATTGATAAAAAATGATTAAATGCATTATTACATATGACTTTTGTTATCCCTGAGTCTATCTAGACCCCTGCCTCCCATAATACTCTCCATAGAAGCACTGGCAGGAGGGTCAGCACTCACAGCAGCAAGGATTTCCTTGCACATTGTTGTCAGTCTATCATGTGAGCATGCTTACATGAGGGTAGAGCACAAGGATGTCATATATTGTCCAATCAAAGATGCTGGTTGGTCCTGGACCAGGCTATATTGCTATATAGTAATGTAGTCTTTATGGGAGTTCAGAACTTATTTGTGCTGTTAGGTATGGGTGTCTGAAACACAAGACTGGCAAAACAAAATTACCAATCCTTTGACAGGTAAAACAGTTTATCGATATGTGTTTCACAAATGCAGTAAAAGGGTATATACTGGGATTTCCAATGTTACTACTTTAAATTAAATATTTCTATTTATCAATGCTTCCTCTTCTGTCCGATCAGAATCTGATCTCCTGTAAAAATTAACCTTAAGCTGGTCATACCCTGATTTTGGCCATATTCAGGGAAATTGGTTAAAATTCTAACAATGGATTACTGAAACAACTTTTGTCAAAGAGGCCTGGCCAAAAACTGACTGCTTGGTAGCCCAGCAGGGGAGATTTATCCATCCGCACTGTTTAGTGTGGATAGAGGAATCTGCTACATTTTGTTCCTTCAGCCTACAGGCTGAATGCAAGAAATCTAGTGTATGTCCAGCTTTAGGCTAATGTAGCTTGGACTTATTATCAGATGTATTCTCATATCTGAAGGGGTGCAGGAGATAATATTTTGCAATCATTCAAACAGAATATGAATATACTGTACACAAAAACATCACAGATGAAATGATTTTACAGCCTAGCTGACAGTCCTTTTTAATTTACCCAAACTGGTAAAGGGATCTTGTCTATCTGTCTACGTGGACATCTTAGGAAAAAGCTTTATATATTTTTTTGTTTGTTTATCACCCATTCATAGTAGCCTAGCAAATATTTTGGGGGTTTAATTTGAAATTATGGAGGCTGTCTTATCTTTTGGAGGCTGTTTTATGTTTTTTTACAGCTTTTTTTTGTTATATTGCACTTATTCGGAGTCTCAGCCTGAAGTCTGTTATTAATTATTTCCTGTTGCAGTAAGTGTAATTGTAAAATGCGGTTATCTAGCACAGGCAGGAAGAGGACCTAACAGACAAGTGAACAGGCAGATAGTTAAACCAATCAAGGACATCTGCACAGGATATCTTCTAATCATCTGTTCTATCCTGTCTTGAACTATGCTCTTGTGTTGAAGCATCAGCCTCCGACAATTAAAGGAAAACGCCTCTTTAAAAAAAAAAAATCTTGTCTTTTCTAAAGGCAGACGGAGACTTAGCATTCTGCACGTTGAAAATTGCAGTGTGCTTTCTCCATGCTGGGCTAATAAGGGCTACAGTAAACCAATGTGAATCATTCTCCCTATGTCATGAGTGTGGGGTACAACAATCGTTTTCAGGACAGACTACAAGCAATTGTTTTTCAAAAAGCTATTGTTTTCTCCCATATGGTTTTATATATACAATATGTCCTTATAAATACTAATACATATAAAACAGCTGTTTCTCTTTTGTGGTGTGTCAGCAGTACTATCACCAGAATATTTTTTATTGCCAGCATAAAATGGAACCTTTAAAAGTAAAACATCCTGCCTTAGACTAAAGTCAAACGGGCGACTCAGTCATCAGCGATCCTGCCGCTGGTGATCTGAGGAAATTGCCTCTGGCAGGATCGCTAAGAAGCTGCCTGTTTCTTCCTATGGCATCGATACCTGTGTAGCTGATGCAGCAAGATGACGCTCCCATTGCTAGCAATCGAGATTCAGCAGTGTTCGGGCCAGCAAAAGAGTGACATCTTGCTGCATCTGGATACCTCTTTAGCAAGCATGACACCGGCAATTTGTAGCCAGTGGTAAATCGCCCATCTGACAGCAGCCCAACAGCAGACATTACAAGATGCACGCTATTGCCTTAATAAGTCAGAAAACCCTTTTCTGTGCCCTTCACTAATTTAGTTTCACTTTGCTAGCAGGGTCTGACTTTTTCTTGACTTGATGGCTAAGTTTCACCAGCTGCCATCCATCTGTCCAGGAAATGTGCCTTTACCGACCACTGAGGCAGTCTCATTAGACACTGGAATGGCACTGGATGACAGAACTCAGCCAAGAAAGTAAGGCCACCATAGCAGAGTGAAGCTGAAGCAAAGAGAAGTGCAGAAAAAAGCTTTCAAGGGTAATAAATCTTGTAATGTCTGCTATTAAGATGGCCATACACTGTGCAAATGTCAGTGGGTGCCCCTGGCGGCACCCTTTTGGCCAGCATTTCTTGATCAGCTGATCAAAGGAGCCTGTTGGAAAACCTTCTTATGAACAGATTGGGCAGCCAATGAGCCACCAGCTCTATTCAGGTATCCTGACAGCGTCCGGCAGCCGCTGTCAGAATACAATGAAGACAACGGGAGATTCCTTGATCAACGCTCGTAAGCATTGAAGGCGGAATCTGCTATATTTTTTTCTTTCCGCCCGCCGGTTGAACTAAAAAAATAGAACAGTGTTTGGCCAGCTTTAGTCAGCACTGTTGCTTTAAATTTTAAAAGTAGCACAGGTTCTACTTTACTTCACCAGGTTTATAGCTAAGCCTGGTTTCATTTCTTCGGCCCGAAAGTGTGACTTGTATATGGGAACGTTCATCTGGGGATGTCATTTGCTAATCTAATGTCTCTACCCGATGTGCTGTATGACGTCCCACATGATTTGAAGTCCCTGAACTGTATCGGTTTTATCTTGTTCTGTTTGTTTTCTTTATGTCTTTCATTAATAAATATTACTTTGACTGAAAGAAACACAGGTTCTTTTTAAGTAATCTGAGTTGGAGAGGAATATCTAAACAAACAAGGATGTTGAAAGAGCTCTGCTGCCTTTTCACCTCCAATCACCGACTTTACGAAGCCATTAGTGGTAAGAAGTTCTATGCAAAACCTCCCTGGTCATGTAACTGGCCAATGCCAGTTGGCCAGAAAGAGCACCAATTGGAGAGGTTTATCAGAGAGATAGTTGCCACATATAAACTTGCTATTAGCAGCAGTAACCTTAAGTAAAAATCTAATTAAGGTCAGTGATTGAGGGTGCACAGACACCAGAACACTTTGTACATGGATGTATCTTCAGGCATAGGGGTGCTGGGTCCTAACTGGACCCATTCTTGCAGGGCTGCACGCAACCAGTCGGTTTAAAGTCTACTTTAAACTATTTAAAGCATAGTATGATTTAACAGTAAACATAATGTTGTGCAAGAGGAAAATGTGGAAGTTAAACAAGATCTTTCCCTATCTTAGGCCATTACTGTAAGAACTCAACTAAAATTCGTCACAGCACGTCAAATGCAACAATGGCGATGCTCAACTGTTATTATTAATAAAATACCCTAAAACACTCACATTTTAAACATACACAAAAACATGGTATTGACCTACGTTGCCTACTCATATCCCTTCCACCACATAGCTTTCCCCATGACTACAGGTGTTCTTTAAGCCCTGGGAACATGCACCACCTGAAAAACTTCAGAAACCGCTAACATTGAGCTTTATTATACTAAAAAGCAGTAACAAACACTACTGACCTTTCCCAAAGATAGGGCCCTCTTCAGTAAGGGGTTTCCATTTTGTGCCAGTGGCAAAATTCTTGAAGTGTTCCTCCAATTGTGTGCCTATGGCAAAAATCCTTAGTGAATAGGGCCCAATAATAGTTATAGTTTCTGTATGTCAATCACATTTCACATATGAACATTTTGAAAAGCTGAGCGCAAATATCTTACAGCCAAAAGATGCACAATCTGAGAATAAAAGCCATACAGTATGTTGCAGAGGTGTGTAATCCTAATGGTATGCAATATATGTTTATTAACAAAACAGCTATTATAATGCAGGGAGTAAATGGGAATTTGCTCTGGTTCTAAAAGTACAGGGGAGACACCAATGCCCATGCTAAATTCTGTGCAAACATTGACTATTGCTGACTTATTTCTAATACTCTTTCATCCTGCCCTCCCATGGAGTGGCAGTTTCCAGTCCTGGCAATTGGGGGGGTAGGTGAGCGGGCATGTTGGCCAAACCAGGAAGTGCTGGGCTTGTCAATAGGGCACAAACAGTGAACACAGCTGCAGGCAGTAGGGTCCTACTCTACAGAGAAGTAAGGGAGGTTCATGGTTTGGAGGCAGCTGTGGTCTTTCCGTACAGGTGTGCTGTAAAGCTCATCTGCAGGCAAACAGCTTTTTGTTAGTTTTGGATAGGAGTGTTAAAAAGTTTGACCTTTGGTTGGTTGGTTGGTTTTAAGTGTTGTGTGTGTCCCTGTTGGTGACACTTCCCCATCCCTTCCTGTCCGGTGGCCCACAGGAGAGAAATTAAAGGAGAAACCTTCACAATGAGGTCTCAGACTGCAATAGAACCTGGGAGATGTTTTAATCTTTCTCTATTCTATCTCAAAACTAAAAAACATGTTTTGGTTGGAGTTGGGCTTTAACAGCAAAGGCTCTAATCCTTGCCGACATGCAGAATTCTTTAAAATAAGATCCTCTCACCTGTCAGGAATGAAGGCATGAAATTACTGGCATAAAAGATCTCATTTCATCCTAGCCTTGCTATAAATAAACTACCAATCAACAGAACACTTTTACCGTGGTTGCTAGAATTTTAATATCATTTTCACTGATACTTTTTTTCTGTACTGGCTGGTCTAACAGCACGGTATGCTATGTTGTGTGGAAGGTTGCATGATTTATATGATATCACCTAGTTGGAATAGCAAAACTTTTTCCATTTACATTTTTCTGTCCAATACATGTTAAAAAATTAGTAAATGAAAAAAAAAAACCAAGCAAATATTAATACTAATAAAGGGTATGTATAGTCTTTACAATTTTCTGTGTAATATAAAATGTTAAAGATTGATGTAAATAATGTTAACTACGTGTGTCTGTGAAGTTTCTATTTTATCCAGGTCATAGTACAGCTAGTAGTAAGTAGTCACATTCAACTGGATTTGTGCTGTAATGTTGGCGACATTATGTAGCTTCTCCAAGCTACTTCTTTAGTTCTAATGATACTCTTAACACTCATTAGGACTAAAGAAGTGGCTTGGATAAGCTACAAAATGTCTTCAACATAACAAAACAAGGCCAGATAAATGCAACTAACTACCACTAGTTATCTATGTGTGTTAATGCTTAAATAATGCTCTATATCTTTTTTTTAAATATAATTTTCTATATGTATATATATATATATA